CAGAGCTGAAGTCAGGAAGACACACTGCTTCTCTTTAATACTGCATTTACACAGACTGAAGACAGAAACAGAAAAACAATGGTTCAGATTCTTGATGGCGTCTTATAAAAGAGCAACAGAAGACATACTGTATAGTCCTCCATATAGTCTTTAGTTGCCATAGTTTAACTGTTTTTAATTGTTTTTAAGTTCCAAATGCCAGAAGCTGTTGTTTTCTTCTCATTCATTTTTTAAAAAACTAGAGACATACATTTCTTTTTTTTTTTGTCTCTCATCCGTTGTTGCAGGCAGCAAATGTGAATCTCATAATATTTCTGCAGAACATGTACACAACCAGTACATTTTATCAAATACTTTAAATGAAATTAAATAAAATGTAATTTAATTAAATCCTATTTAGACACCTATTATTAAAGGTGACAAAAATACAGATATAGTGCTAGGGTTTAAATACTGTAAACTGGGCCTGTTTGACTAAACAGTGACTTTCAATCAAACTGCTGTACAGTATAATGATACTAACGCTAGTATTTCCAGATTGCATTGTGGGATCATCAGCAGATTGCTAAGGTTTTCAAATCCAGAGTCTCCTAGTTTATTCTCACTGAGGTCCAGTTCTCTCAGGTGTGATGGGTTTGATTTCAGAGCTGAAGTCAGAGCAGAACAACCTTCATCTGTCATACCACAGCCTCTTAACCTATATTAGGAAAAAGAGAAAAGCAGAAAATAAAACATTCCGTAAAGACATAGAAAGAGAGATCATCTTGACTTCACCAGATCACAAAATACTCAGGCTCTTTACAATATACAGACTATAAAGTGTCTTTGTTTAAAAGCTGTTGAAGTGATTTGAATCATTTTGATTCTTGTATGTGAATGTTACTGACCTCAATCTCTCCAGTTTACAGCGTACATCCTTCAGTGTTTCAGATACATGCTTCACTCCTTTGTTGTCTAGTTTATTTCTACTCAGGTCCAGCTCTCTCAGGTGTGAAAGGTTTGAACACAGAGTTAAAGTCAGGATGAGACACTGTTTCTCTGTAATACTGCATCCACGCAGACTGAAGACAGAAAGAGAAAAGACAATGAATCAGATCTATGAAAATCAATTAAGGTTTTGGAGGATTTGGATCGTTTGCCTGACTGTAATTTGTCTTCTGAAAGTCACACTTGAAATGATCTCGAACAGCATTTACATTATAAAGCATTACTTCTATTCCAGATGCATTCACTTCACGTCAATTTTAAGACTGGTTCTTCTGTCAATGGCACCCTTTAGCTCAACTGGGCAAATGTGTTTAGATCTGCTGTTCCCAGCTACATACAGTAGGCCTAAGGTTTCCTTAGTTAACTACATTAGTTAACAAGAACTAATGATGAACAATACTTTTACAGCATTTTTTAAATAAAAAGTTGTATCTCTTAACATTACACACTGTGAACTAACATGAACAACGAACATTAAAGATTAATCTGATCCAGTGTTCATTCATTAAAGTAGTGCTGTATGTGTGCTTGCTGCAATTTAAAAAATAAATGAATAAAAACTGTCCCTGAATTTAAGCAGGACTGAAGGATTAGGTTGAACATCAGCCGATAAAGATTGGTGGCCGATCTGTTGATACATCATTAATTTGCTTTGTTCTGAAACAGGCACTAAATTGTTGAAATGTTGCATTTTTGTTTTGAAGAGTTTGTAAGTTCTTTAAGAAAACCATTGCTCTCCCTCTACAGTATCTGAAATAATTAATAATGACCCATGATCAAAGTGACTTGGCCTACTGTTTAAAGCTAATTGTCATTTTTTTTAAATGATTTGTTTTTAATGGCCTGTTTAATTTTAATACTTCACACTGTGATGCCTCTGGCTCAAACAAATGAAAAAAAAAAGAAAATTGTATTATCAAATACATGTTAAATTATGTAAGATACTCACATCAGTGTGTTGAGTTTACAGTGTTTATCCTGCAGTAGAGCAGAGATCTGATTCACTCGTGTGTCTCCTAGTTCATGTTCACTTAGATTCAGCTCTCTCAGGAGTAACGGGTTTTTACCCACAATTCCAGTCACATACTGACAGGCTTCATCTGCAGCAGGACTTCTCAAAAACCTGGAAAGGGTAAAGCAGGATTCATTTTAATTCTGAAATAAATGTCCACTGCTTTACAAAACATGTTGATAAAACAGAATTCATTATTTTTCCTAATGACAAGCTCTAGTTACTGTTTTACTTTGAACATAAAAAAGTATTATTTTTTGACATTCAAATGTCAAAAAACAGTGATGTCTAAAAACAGAAACAGTGCAACAGTGCTAATGTCATGAGGAGTAGAAGAGCAAAAGATCTTTGAAGACACCACATGTTTGTGAAGAACTGGAGACTCATAGATCTGCTGTAGAGTGATACAGTGTTGAGAATCTGGGCTTGATGGAAATGAAACTACAGTGTATTCAGAAAAAGTTAGTAACAAACTACTGAGTATCAGCACATTTAGCGGCTCATAATGTCTATTTAAACAGTACTGTAGCTTATACCACAACAATTTGTCACCAACAACACAGTACCTCAGATGCACCAAATCAATGCATCTTATTGTATTACTGAAATAATATTATGTATGAATATTTAGCCTGCATGTCATTTATTTTGTATCATCTCATCACATCTCACCTCAGTGTCTTCAGTTGACAGTCTGGATCCTGTAGTACATCATTGAGCTGCTTCACTCCTGATTGTCCAGGATCATTTCCTGTGAGATCCAGCTCTATCAGGTGTGAAGGGTTTGATCTCAGAGCTGAAGCCAGAGCTTTATAACCTTCTTCAGTGATACTGCAGTCTGAAAGTCTATTTGGAAAAAAAAGTTTTATAATGATCAAAAAGTATTATGTGATTTATAGAATTAAAAACATATTTCTTACTGTTAAAATATACATTTTATTATGAAAAAAAAAATGTTACATTCAATTAATGATAATTCAACTCACCTGAGTTTCTCCAGTGTGCAGTTTTTATCTTCTAATCCGTTCTGGAGTTTCTTCACTCCTGAATCCAGCAGATTATTGTTGCTCATGTCAAGTTCTTTCAGACTGGAGTTTGATCTCAGGACTGTAGCGAGAGCTGAACAGCTTTTCTCTGTCAGACCACACTTACGCAGACTGAAATATTGAACAGGAGAGAGAATTTATAAACTCAATACTCACATCAGTGTGTTGAGTGTACAGTGTTTATCCTGCAGTAGAGCAGCGATCTGATTCACTCGTGTGTCTCCTAGTTCACGTTCACTCAGATTCAGTTCTCTCAGGAGTAATGGGTTTTCTCCCAGATGTTTAATCACATACTGACAGGCTTCATCTGCAGCATGATTTTGTAACAACCTGGAGACAGAAGTACACCGACATTTCACAACTGTACATTGCAGTGCTGCCTTCTACAACGAGATGAAGATCAGGAGACAATGAAGATCATCTTGATGCACTTGGTAGGCTTTTCACACCACAAATGCAACATAAAAGTAATTAAATTTTACAAGTATAATCCAAAATAACCATTAAACTCAAATCATTGCAAAAATAAATAATTAATTTATTAAATTATTTCAATCTTTTCACAAATCATAGTTCTTATTTATTAAAAAATAACTGAATTCAAAGGTAAGATGTGGTAAATTAATCTAGATGTAGGTACATGTAAATGTTGCACACAGAGATAAAAGATGGTTTGATGGTTTAATTGCATTTCAGTTAAAATCTTAAATGTATTGCACTTAAGGACACTCACCTCAGTGTTTTCAGTGAATAGGTTTGATTCTGTAGTAAATCAATAAACTGCTTCACTCCTGATTGTCCAGGATCATTTCCTGTGAGATCCAGCTCTATCAGGTGTGAAGGGTTTGATCTCAAAGCTGAAGCCAGAGCTTTATATCCTTCTTCAGTGATACTGCAGTCTGAGAGTCTAAAGAAAATAAAAACATGAATTAAAAGCAACATTATGGTTCAAATTCATCCATTCATTCAGTGCACAATCACAATTAATGTAAGATTTGATTAGAAAAATGAATGCATGGTTCTGATTGGCTACAGATGTGTTGATTATTTTGAATAACTGCACAGTTAAAGTATTTCCAGGCAGGTCTTGACTGCATTACAGTTTCATATCACTTCATCAGATTACTTTCCTAACAGTCTACAAAAGCAAAAGAACCAAAACCCCTGAAGATAATGACCAAGGAAACAACAGGATAAAAAAAAAAAACCCAAATGAAATGAAATGGCACGTCATATTCGGGCTAAGAACCGTTTATTAATTAGTTAATTGCTTTATATACGCATTAAAAAATAAATTGGTTCTTTTAGTAGCATAAAAATATTCCTATATTGTTTCAAACTGGGAATACATTTTATACAGAAAGTGAGCAAAGAACATCCCCATCACTGAAGCCATCAATGACGAGCATGAGTTCTGTCCTCTTACAAAAACTCCTCCTCATGTGTGATTGCAACATGCCTAAAAAGAAAATCTGATGTAACATCAGCAGATCTAAATTAAATCTTGAATTTGGGGTGAATGCTTGCTTATTTTAGTGTCGTTTTTTGCCCCAAGTCCCTATTAATTTTCAACCCTACTTGGGTTATGTACAGTATTAGAAATATACTTAAGAAAGTAAGAGACTGATTTTTACATTATGTGCTTTGTTTCAAAATGTCATCCTTAACCTAGGAAAAATATAATTGTGAACAAATGTTATAGCTATTTTATTTATTTATTTATTTTATTACTGTGATAAGAGATAACACTGTTGTGAGGTTAATAATGACATGACTTTTGTGTAAAAATGCACAAATGTGTTCTCTATGCACAGTTAGTAAATGAAAACCACTGTCTACAACAAAAACAACATAGTATTATTCAATTATTTCCACTATTGGAGGTGAACCGATTAAAATCTAGATATAAATATATACATACATTATATATATACGTGCGCATATCGCGTTTGGACTCGTTCTGTATCGCGTATCTTGTCAGTGTCTGCGTTTGCTTGGCCATTTGTTGTGGAAAAAATAAGGAAAGTGTGTTCAAGCGCCAGCAGAAAACAGTGTAAAGAAATACTCTTTGAGAGAAGCAGTCTCTATCAGCGGAAGTTAAAAGCAGCGCATAAGTGTATTTACTTGTCTCATTAGAGTTTAGTGCAGTTGTCGTTGCTAGGAAACGCTTGTTTTGTTTACTGTGTGGAGACGTGCTGATATCACGTTTGGTCTCGTTCTGTATCGCGTATCTTGTCAGTGTCTGCGCTTGCTTGGCCATTTGTTGTGGAAAAAATAAGGAAAGTGTGTCCAGCTGAATTAATTTAGTATTTTGTTAGATGGGAATAAAAAAGCTTAGTTTACCACGGCAGCCGTCGCGGCAGCCGTCGCGTGAAGGCCTCCTCGTGTGAAGACCGAAGAGTGTAAAGACCATCGACTCTACCATGCGACTCCACCAGGCAGGGACTCCGGCAAAGGATAAGTATCGCTATTTATT